ATCGTGTTACAGATGCGTCGTACCTAAGGCAAAGCCCCACGTGCGTTATCTCAAGACGTAGTGGGGAGCCGGTGGGCGTTAGTTTACGAAAATTGACCGAAATGTGCAGATCGTGCCAACCTCTGAATTAAAGTATTTAGATCATGTGCAGGTATTTAAAATAAAATATAACAAATCTATAAAATTTTTTTATGATTTTTCCAATGTTTTAAAGTTGTTATCTCATTGTATAAAAATGTATTTAAAAAATATTGAAAATAAATGTACAAAATGTGCTATATATAATTTCTATAAATTTCAATCGGATTCTGTCGCTATAACATGAGAAAATAATAATTAAAATTTGGAAAAAATATACACGCTCTCATGGAAGCTGATTAATCTAAAAAAGATTAAGCATAGTAAAGCATATTTTAAGATTTCTAAAATAGAGAAACACATAAAAATTAAATATGTAATTTGTCAAAGTGTAAAATTAAATATGCAATTTGTCATATATGCATATGACTAATATATGTGTATTTTTTCCATATTTCGATTATTTTCTCGGGTCACAGCGACAAAAACCAATTAAAATTTACTGAAATTATGTATAGCACATTAAGCATTTTGTATATTCACTTTCAATAATTTCTCTATATATTTTATTTTTCTATATACAATATAGCGACGTAACAACCTTAACCATGTGATCTATATATCTTAATACACTAAGCATAATTAATATCTCCTATTTTCGGGGATAAATATTTAGAATATTAACTTTATAACAGATTTCTTTGTCAGAAATGTCATTCTATATTAAAAAAAAAAAATAATAATAATTAATTGATAAAGTAAACACTTTTTAAGATTAGAAAATCTAGAGTTAAAAAAAATAATGTCAACTTTTCGTACATAGTGATCTACAAATTATTATTAATTTTTACTACTATTAACGATACATCATTTCAAACTTTGCGCGTTATTCTTATTGTTTGTATCACTATATACCGAGTGTTTCAGACCACCCGTACACCCCATTTAAAAACGAGGGAAGTGGTTATTTTAAAAAATGTTTCAGACAAAAGTTGTTGGTGATCAAATAATGCATTACATGGGCATATGCGATTGACCTTGAATGGCGTCGTGAAGGTCATGTCAAGGTAGACTTGAATTTTCTAAATGGAAACCCTTACTTTTTATTTTATATTCTTGTAGCTGACGTCAAGGCGTTTTCGAAACACTGGTTACAAACTCTTTTTAATTGAGATCTTCCTGAGTTATGAGACTTTAAAATTTAAGTACTATCGGCGTTAGCATTACCCAAGATGTACCGTGTGGAGGTCGCACGGTCGGATTTACACCTTTTCGGGATGCTTAATTAAAGTGAGTCCCCTTCCCCGTCCCGCCTCTCACGTGTGTGTAAGAGGGGGGAGGGGGAATAATCTTGGACATCTTGGATAATGCTAACGCCGGCGGCACTTAAATTTTGAAGTCTCGTTACTCAAGATCTCAACTAAAAAGAGTTTGTAACCAGTGCTTCGAAAACGCCTTGACGTCAGCTACAAGAATATGAAATAAAAAGTAAGGGTTTCCATTTAGAAAATTCAAGTCGACCTTGACATGACCTTCACGACGCCATTCAAAATCAATCGCATATGTCAATGTAATGCACTACTTGATCACCAACAACTTTTGTCTGAAACATTTTTTAAAATAACCACTTCCCTCGTTTTTAAATGGGATGTACGGGTGGTCTAAAACACCCGGTATATACAGAGTGTTCCATTTTAAAAACCCCACGTAAATAACTTTTCAGAGACATTTTCAAGAAAAATAATTTAGACCAAAGTTATTGGGTTTGGAGGGGGACATCCGATGATGACATTGGTTTAACCTAGGGTACATACCAAGGTCATATAGAAGTCAACTTTGTTTTTTTAAATAGAACACCCTATTTTTGATTCCAAAATCTAATAGCTGGTGTCAAGAGCTTTTCAAAACACTATAATGAAGTTATTTTTCATTAAGTACTTTTCGAGTTATGAGGCTTGAAAGTTACAGCATTTTGACATAAAATACAAAATATCTTGGAAAACATTTAATTTTCCGGAATCTTACCTTAATACTTTTATGCACAAAATAATGAGATGAATCAATTGGTATAAAGGAAACACATAGTTGCTTTCAAGAAAAAATATGTAATTTGCAACATGCAACTGCATACTTTTTTTTAAAACCAATGATGTTAGCAGGAACCGGACCACAAGAAATTTGCAAAATGTGGAAAAGGTAATTCATGTTATCGAGTAAGAATCTGATACTAGTATCAGAGTTATTGCTCGCGATCATGATTTCTTGTATTCCACGTTGCAAAAAATATTTAAGGAAGAAAAGTTGCACGCATTTCACTACACTCGTGTGCAAAATTTACGACCGAAAGATTAAACTCGAAGACGAAATTTTTGCGAAGATTTCCTGAAAAAGGTGGATCGAAATTCAAAATTTCTTTCTCATGTGATATTTAGCGATAAATCGTTATTCACACGAGAAGGAATTTTGAATTCGCACAACAATCATTGTTGGAGCGATGAAAATCTACGCTGCACCCGTCCAAGGAGCTTCCAAACTCGTTGGAAGAGAAATGTTTGGGCTGGAATAATGGGAACACAAATATTGAGTCTCGTTTACCTTCCGGACAATTTAAATGGCGCAAATTATCTTAACTTCCTGGAAAACACAATGCCCGATTTTTTGGAAGAAATTTCTTTACTTGAGAGGAGCAATATTGTTTTCCAACAAGATGGTGCCGGGTCACATAACGCAAGAATTGTGACCAATTTTTTAAATAGACAGTTTCTTGGGCGTTGGATGGGCCGGTATAATCCAATAAATTGGCCCGCAAGATCTCCAGACCTCAACCCTTTGGACTTTTTTCTATGGGGTTATTGTAAGGAGGTTGTGTATAACAAATTTCCTGAAACTATGGAAGAATTGGACGCAAAATTGCACGAAGCAATTTGGAGTATTCATGAAGATATGTTGAAGAATGTCCAACATAATATGATACGACGCTTGAGAACTTGCGTTGAGATGGACGGAGGCCATTTCGAACATTTATTATAAAAGTAAGACAAATCCACCCTTTTCAGGGCGACCAAATCTTTTTTCGTTGGACATTTATTAAAAACCG